GAGAAACTAAATCGACAGGTTGGCACATTCCATTGAACCAATTTTAGTCGAAATGAAGCGACATGTTTGATTCGTAATCATGTAAATGCTCGATAGGCTGGTTGAAAGAAAAGAGTTGATGGAAAAATAAACCCACACAGCTGAGCAGAGACGTTGAGCGGATATCCTTCCACCGCACAGCTGACGTAGTCGCCAGGATATAAAATAACTTCAAAGGGTTTGTCCATCTGGGATGGGGCACAGGAGCCCACCGGCTGTCCGTTCCTCGACCAGCAGAAAGACAAAGGAGATGGCGGGCTGCAGCTCAAGTGGCACAATAGCTGAGCGATGATGTATGACTCTTTCACTGTGACGAGCACCACCTGCACCTGCACAACTGGAGACGGGAAGAGCAAAACAGGTGAGTCCGGGAAACGCATTTGCTCTTTGGGGTTAAAGTCCGGACGTTGCAAAACGTTCCACTTCTGGCTTTGGTACCGATCGTGGGCCTTCGTTTTGACATCGGTACTCACACTGGAGCGCCATTTTGGATTCGGGGATAGGCCCCACTCCCCTAAATCCACACTAGTACCTGGAAATGAAAGCGGAATGAACTCATATTCCATCGATTGTGTTTCACTCTTACCCGCGACAGTCAAAATGGTTCCGGGCAAAGTACTCTTCCAGGTAAACTTTCCTTTCGTGGTGAATGTGAAGCGGTAATCCGCAGAATCGCTCTCCATCAAGTTGTTGATTCTCAGAGTCGATTGTCCTTGAGATTTTTCAAAGAGCTCAACACGAGCCTTGTAGCGGTCGTCCAACTTGAGGTCCCGAGGATCGTTTTTTGTGAACCAGAATTTTGATGTGACCTGAGAACTGTAGTAGGTGCTGTAAGTGCAACTAATGTCCACTGTGGAGCCTTTGAGAGCGCAGATGCTTCTCTCTTCATACAGCACCCGGTTACACCAGGTGCTGCTGGGCCGACCTGGACCTGAAAGATTGAAAAAGCACTTTTAGCATTAGCAAGTAGCTGGGTGCTACAAAATAGAGCGGCAGGAGTCGACAACTCACACAGAGGAGGAGACACGAGCTGCTGGTATCCTCTTATAGCACAGGAGTAGCTGTGTCTGTCGTCATAACCACGAGACGGAGAAGAGCGATAATCATAATACCAATAAGAGTTTGCGTTTAGGATTTCTTGACCATCCTTGTACCAGATGTATGAAGCACCAGTATCCAGATTGCATTTGCTGACACAACTCAGTGCACTCCCCACTTGTACATTGAGATCTGAATTTAAGAGGAAGAAATAGACATCTTGTGTCACAAGGCATTCATTTCAACAGAAAAGTGTCAAAGTTCATTTCCGCCAAGAGGAGTAAATGCCGCTTCATTCAAATTTGTGTTTGTGTGTGTGTGTGTGTGTGTGTGTGTACTGTGTGTTTCCATTGCGACGGTATGGCGAACAGCCGCCTGTTCTGAGGTTCCAATCGAGACTTTGGCCTTTTGATGTCGCATTTGTACGTTTCACTCCGGCGCTCGCGAGAGCTTCCTTGCTACCGCGACTCTCTCCCACATGCCAAAAACATGTCCTTTAGCTTCATTGAAGCTAAACCATCAGCCAAACGCTTAACACCCCCCACCCCCCCAAAAAAAACCGTTTTTTTTTTTTTTTTTTAAAATCAAGAATTCTTTTTAAAAACTTAATTTAAAAATACAACCGATGTGCAATGACGTTATGAGACCTTCCCGCTTGGTGTAAAAGTGCTTTGAGGGACAATCCTTACCAGTGACGGTCAGAGTGACTCCAGGCGTGACGGTGTAGCTGTTTACAGTCGTGACAAATCTGAATTTGTACACGCCGGCGTCACTTCCCCTCAACTGGCTGATTGACAAACGGCACTGGTTGTCTTGGCAGTCAAAGTGCAGACGACCGGCATACTGAGGGTCCGAACGCAAATCTTCCGGCTTGTCATTGTTCCATTTGGTGAACCACACAGTCTTGACGCTCGCGTTTTTTGTTTGAGGGTACCAGAACGTGCACACGAGCTCCACCGAGCTTCCTCTGAGGCCGCAGATGGTCGTCACATCATAAGAGCCTCCCCAGCCATTTGTCTCCAACGCTGAAACGCATTTTCAAAATCAGACGCACGTTTATTCTTGAGGGGAAGTACGTGCCATTTTTTTCCCATAAGTTTTGTTTAATCTGGGGAAGAAAAAAAAACCATCTGCAGAAATCTACTGAATCAACGGCGATTGACTGTTGAGCATGTTCGCCTCACAGTGGGGTTGTGGGTTCGAGTTCCGGTGTGGCATTTGTATGTTCTCCCTGTGCCCGCGTGGGTTTTCTCCGGGTACTCCGGTTTCCTCCCACATTCCCAAAACACGCGTGGCAGGTTTCGCAGACGACCGGCGTACTGAGGGTCCGAACGCAAATCTTCCGGCTCGTGATTGTTCCGTTTGGTGAACCACAGAGTCTTGACGCTCGCGTTTTTTGTTTGAGGGTACCAGAACGTGCACACGAGCTCCACCGAGCTTCCTCTGAGGCCGCAGATGGTCGTCACATCATAAGAGCCTCCCCAGCCATTTGTCTCCAACGCTGAAATGCATTTTCAAAATCAGACGCACGTTTATTCTTGAGGGGAAGTACGTGCCATTTTTTTCCCATAAGTTTTGTTTAATCTGGGGAAGAAAAAAAACCATCTGCAGAAATCTACTGAATCAACGGCGATTGACTGTTGAGCATGTTCGCCTCACAGTGGGGTTGTGGGTTCGAGTTCCGGTGTGGCATTTGTATGTTCTCCCTGTGCCCGCGTGGGTTTTCTCCGGGTACTCCGGTTTCCTCCCACATTCCCAAAACACGCGTGGCAGGTTTATGGAACACTCAAAATTGTCGCTAGGTGTGATTGTGAGCGCGAATGGTTTTTCGTCGATGCGTGCCATGCGATGGGCTGGCGACCAGTTCAGGGTGTCCCCCGCCTACTGCCTGAAGATCGATGGGAACGGCTCCGGCACACCCGCAAGCCTCGTGAGGAGAAGCAGATTTAAAAATGGTGCCAAGGACTCGTTTTCATGTTTTTTTTTTGGGGGGGGTTGTTTTTTTAAGAATCCATGATTTCAACCGCAGACACTTAAAAAAAAAAAAAAAAAATCACGTCGTAGGGAAAAGAAAGATCTGTAAATGTCTGGCATTGAAAGAGTTAAAACGAAAGAACCTGCAGAATTTATTGCAAACGTGACTTGATTCTCATTTCTTTCGGCTTGTTTCTTTTGTCGAGATGTAAAAACACCACGGCTCAGTTTTATTTTCAAATGTGAGTTCTCTTTTTTTTTTTTAAATGCAATTTTGGCCTTGTAAAATCCATGTTCATTGAAAAATGCAACATTTTTTTTCTTTCTTTTTGAAATAGGTTTCGATTGCGATCTCATCCAGATTATGCATTCTGAAGAAATCAAAATGGAACCCGGCAAATTCCACTGAGCACGCGATCTCAAGATCTCAGGTTTGTTGCCTGTTTCTTCAACTGTTTTAAATCCAGATCTGATCCCGAACACACGATAGCTCTGTCATACATCGTCCCATTTGCTGTCATTATGTCAATCCGTATTTTAAACCAGGCCTCGTCCAGATTAGTTTGTTGGAAGCAATGTCAGTGTAACACGTTCACATTCGTTGTTCAGAGATGACACAAAGTTGTGCTGATGATCATATTTCTTTTCACAGACCTTCTTCCTCTTTCCCTCATTGACATGCATGAGCACAACTTTGTGATGTGTAAAAAAAAAAAAGTTGTGATGGATGAATGCTTCTTACTTTTGCTTTCTGTTGTTGTTTGTTTTTTTTTTTCTGTCTACATAGCCAACTCGTTTTTATCAACCCGAAGTGCACTACATCGAATCCAGATTACAGACTTTGAAATGATGTTAGAGTATATCGAACAACTTGCTATGCGGCGTCTCTTTCAAATGTGTTGATGTTTCTGTCACATGTTTTCAACCAGATCGGATCCGGGTGACTCATCTGGAAGCAATGTCATATGCAAAAGTCTCTTGAATGTTCTATGATCTGTCATCAGATTTCCTGCTTGTTTGGCAAACGGTGTTTTAATCCGGATCGGATCCAGATTGCAGTGTAACATATCCAAATCCATTGGACAAGTTGTATTTTGTATCTCACTTGAGCAGCACCATATCTGATCCAGATGACAGTGTTTGGAAGCAATGTAAATGTAACACGCCAACACCTGTGGAAGAAGCTGTCGAATGTTGACAGATCAGATGCGTGGTTGGGAAACCGAGTTCTGATCCAAATGAGCCTTTTAAAAGCAATCTAAATGAATGTAGCTCAACACTAAAATGTGCATGGGGGACAAAAGCCTTGTCTGGTGCGCTCTCTCTCTCTCTCTCTCTCTCTCTCTCCATCTTTTGTTAGCTTTTTTATCTTAAAGGTCTTCTCTGTGGTGTCGCGAGGTGTACTACACGCAATGTATAGTGAGCAGCACCATATCTGATCCAGATGACAGTGTTTGGAAGCAATGTAAATGTAACACGCCAACACCTGTGGAAGAAGCTGTCGAATGTTGACAGATCAGATGCGTGGTTGGGAAACCGAGTTCTGATCCAAATGAGCCTTTTAAAAGCAATCTAAATGAATGTAGCTCAACACTAAAATGTGCATGGGGGACAAAAGCCTTGTCTGGTGCGCTCTCTCTCTCTCTCTCTCTCTCTCGACTCATCTTTTCCTGATTTGTATCATCAAGATGTTTTCTGTGGCAGGAAGTGAAGCAAACTGCTCACATCAAAGAGCAGAAAACAGAATGTGAATTTGTCTGTCACTTTAAAGTCTGTCCATTTGTCAATTGCTTAGCCATTCCTGGAAGAGTTTTTTTTTTTTTAAATATTTATTTATTGATGAGGTAGACAAGAAGAAAATAAAATGTAGAAAATCAGCACTGGGATATTTTTCGGACCGTGTGAGCGATATGTCAAAATGTAGGCGAGGTCATACCTTGTACTTTGGAGAGCAAGAGGGCACACATGACAATTGCCTTTTGTGGAGTCCAGCTCATGTTTGCTGCTTATTTGGATCCGATGCTCGCCTCTCGTCGCCGTCTGTGCGAAGAAGAATTAAGAGAGTGAGAGTTCGGTCTCTTCCTCTTTCCTCACTGACACGCATGATTACACTGTTAAAAAAAAAAATACAGAGATGTGATAAACAAATGTGTCTTACTTTGTCTTTCTCCCCACCACCCCCAAAGTGAGTCTACATTTCTTTTTTGATCAACGCAAAGCACACTTTTGGAATAACAAACTGTCAATACGTATTTGTAGGCAGGGTAAATGTAGATTGTCAGAGTCCATTGAACATGTTCTACCTCTGCCAAATGTCGTCTGTTTTGTTTGTCAAGGCAATGTAAAGGCCTAGAGTCCATTGAAGATGTTTCTGTGTACCTCAGTCAAGCGTTGTCAGATTTGATTGTCAGACCGTGATTTTAATCCAGATCTGCTCCAGATCATGCAATTTTAGCAATCAAAGTCTAACACATGCAGTTATAGCTGTCAAAATTTTAGATATTTGTTCCATGTTTGTCAAAACATATTTTAATCTAGATCTGATGCGGTGTGTTGGAGGAGGAAAACATCTAAAACAGTGGTCCCCAAACTACATCCTGCGTGCTCGATCACCTCCACATTTTGCCCGGCTCCCTGAACAATACCAGAGATGCATGACCATTTTTTCCCAGTCTGGCCACGTGATCAAGACTTGCACATGCGTAGAATGTAACATTCGATCCACAGTTCTGCAGTCAGTGCCCTATTTGAAACCCCACCCTCAAACAAAACAAATCCAGGACACAGCCCTGTCAAATAAATTGGAATAATGGCGAAAAGGTTAGATAAGAAAAAAGATTGATTCAGTTAATTTCTTGATTTTCAGATTTTTTTTTCCTGTCAAGATCCCAGAACGGCTTAATATTTGGTAATATGTGGCTTTTTGCAAAACAACAAATGAGATGAGCGCAGATAATAAATTGTTAGCGGAACAAAAGTGAGAAAAATTCATTAAAGTGTAATGAAAAAAAATAAAGTAAAAGTACAAATAATAAAAAGTTACACCGTTAACCCGTGTTGTATCCACTTTTTTGTTTGATGGTTTCAGTTTTGACATGAGGAAATAAAGTTTGTTGTTTTGGCAAATTTAAACTGGCCAATCACAAAATGGCACTATGCGAACCCAGCCCCCTTGCGCCACGCCCTTAATCGCGACCCGACCAATGACTGAAAGGTGGGCGGAGTGTACGAAATAACAGCGGCGGATTTGAAGGGACTGAACATGGCTGCCGGTAAAGATGCCGACCAAGTCACTGCAAATACGAGGTAAAGACACGTTCCACCGTTACGTTTTTGCGCAGCATTAGTGGAGGATCCCACTTTAACGCGGTCCAAAGCGGAACGTAGAACTGGGGAGCCGTAAAAGCGGGTAAATCCGAACCACTGTCACTTCGAGAGACCGCTGCTGTCACTCGTGTTCGTTCGTTAGCCGCTAGCCGTCCCAAAAATCAAATCGATCCCAATCAAGAGTTGACCGTTTACCATCCGCATAACTTTTATGACTTGTGCGCATTTACATTCATATATAATATTTTTTTTGGAACAACGTGAGTGTCAAACGCGTTGACCTTACGTCACGTCCGACACCTACTATTATACATTTGAATGGCTCAGAATCGAATTGAATAAAGTGAATTATGCAAATATTCCAAATGATGACCTTCTCATTGGAATTTATGGGAATTAACTTCAGGCTAAAGTTCATGCAAAAGTATCAGGCTCATGCATAAATAAAAACGTTTAGTTTGGCTGTAAGCCAGAGGTGTCAAATGCAAGGCCCCGGGGCCCAGATCTGCCCCACCACATCATTTTTGTGGCCGGCAAAAGGCAATGATCAATTTCCTTTTTTATTGCTGAAATACCAAAATTGAAAATGTTGAGATATTGCTCGCTATTTGTTTTAACAACCAGTCCCCCTTTCAAAATGAATATAATTAAGAATAAGATTAAGATACCCTTTATTTGTCCCACACTGGGGAAATTTACAGTCTACAGCAGCAAAATTGGGGGTAGAAAGAAGAAAGAAGGAAACAAAGTGTTTGCATTCGCAAAATAATGTCACACAGTTCAATTGAGTGCAATATAAATATAGATATCGATAAGGTGGCTGTGCTATTTACAATTGTTTTGCACGTAATTTTATTTTTTATTCAGCAGCCTGACAGCAGTCGGTAGGAACGAGCGGCGGTATCTCTCCTTCTTGCAGCGCGGGTGTAACAGTCTCTGACTGAAGGAGCTACCCAGTGCTGTCAGGGCGGCCCGGAGGGGGTGGGAGGGACTGGCCATCATAGCTTTTATACAATTGTTTTGCACGTAATTTTATTTTTTATTCAGCAGCCTGACAGCAGTCGGTAGGAACGAGCGGCGGTATCTCTCCTTCTTGCAGCGCGGGTGTAACAGTCTCTGACTGAAGGAGCTACCCAGTGCTGTCAGGGCGGCCCGGAGGGGGTGGGAGGGACTGGCCATCATAGCTTTTAGCTTAGCTAGCATCCTCCTGTTGCCCACCTCCTCCAGAGTGTCCAGGGAGGAGCCCAGGACAGAACTGGCCCGCCTGACCAGTCACTCCAGTCTCTTTCTGTCCTGGGCCAAGATGCTGCCTGACCAGCAGACAATGACATCATGGATGGCCAAAGCCACAATTATATTTCTTCTGGGGAAAAAAAAAAGCCCTGTGCCTGTTTTTTAAAGAACACCACTAAGATGCTTTATATAAAATATAAAAACACTTTGTAAATGTAAAGACTAAACAAATCTGTGTGTGATGTCCAGGCACTCCAACATGGTGGTCCATGAGGATGGGTCACCGCCGAGAGGCTCCCGAGCCGCCGCCGCCCGCCCGACCGGCATCTTTCCAC